CAGGTGTGACTTGAGAAACGGCAAGTTGCTTCTGGTGTGAGAGTATTGGCTGTCTACAAGGACGTTGCCTAGAGGACACCTGGATGTTTTCATGTTTTACCATCCTTGTGGGAGGCTTCTCTCATGTCCTCGCATGGGGAGCTGGAGCTGACAGAGAGAGCTCATCCACACTCTCCAACCTGTCTGACTTCAGTCCTGCTGGCATAAGGGTTTAACCGCTGGGGCCTCCTTGCAGATATGATTTAAACTAGGGCTACTTAAACTTTTCCCACCTGTAACTCTTTTTCTGCTCGAGAATTTTTTTGCGACCCCAGATATATAGTTATATAATATAGATTATAAACATTTAACATTTACTGATGATAAATCAGCATTTGCAAGGCTTACTGAACAGGCTAAATTTCCTTTTTATGAAGTAAAACTGAAGCATTTTCTACAGAGTCCACTGCATGCTCTTGCTGAGAGATTCATGTAAATGTGTAGGTGGCATTCAGAAACCTTATTGTTGTCAATTTTTGCAGTCCCAACATTGAGCTAAGGGGACCCCATTTGGAGCTGGGACCCACAGTTTAAGAAACAGTTATCTTGATTCAGATACCAGTGTGAAGGCTATATCACTGATACAACAGAGCAAAAGATTCTGAGCACTCTTACAATAGAGTAAGCTCCATGGACTTGTGGTGATCCTAACATGGAGCATTCTGACAAGATTTAATAAGCGGAAATTTGCCATTGTTTGCTTAAGCTGAGAAAGTGTTTCCATGGCTGAGCAGAAATCCAAACCTTGGTCTCCCAAACCACGACACCATGCCAGCTGTCTGAGCTAAGCAAATATACATAAAACTAAGATGCTAATCCAGGGTGAACAAAGCAGTACTGCTCATTACAGATTGAGTATCCCTTATCCAAAATGTTTGGGACCAGAAGTGTTTTGGATTTTGGGTTCTTTCAGATTTTGCATGTACACAATGAGATATCTTGGAGATGGGTCAAAGTCTAAACACAAAATTTATGTACATTTCATATACACCTTAAACACATAGGCTAAATAAAGGTAATGTTACAAACAATGTTTTTCAGATTCTGTGCATGAAATATAGTTTGTGTACATTGAACCCTCAGAAAGCAAAGGTGTCACTTTTTCAGTCACAGACATGGACAATTTTGGATTCTGGAGTATTTTGAATTTCAGATTTTTAGATAAAGGGTACTTGACCTGTATTTCTTATGTAGAAGTCCAGGAACATTGTAGTTTGTCCACCTTTCTATTAATTTCTTTTGGCTTATTCTCGTCTATAAAGTTAAGTTCTGTTGACATTAAAAAGAAGGCTTATCTTCTGGGGGCAGACTGTTCCTCCCACAAATCCTGGCACTCTGGGACACATTCAAATACTCTGGGACACATTCATGTAACTTTCATACACCAAACTTTTAACTTTGTTCTAACTGTTGTAAGATGCCTTGAGTCTCAAACTGGGGGAGAAGGCAGGATATAAATATCATCATCACAAAAGTACTTATTTGTGAAAACACTGACCGTGTAGGGAAGCTGATGAAGAAACATAGCCTACAAACAATGTACAGACATACCAAGGAAATCCAACACATTCTACATACAGACTCCGTAGGAGTCAACCATATACCATGCAGCTGTGAACAAGTCTACATAGGGACCATAGCGCTCAAATACAAAGCAAGGAACATGAAAGGCACTGCAGACTTCTTTAACCAGAGAAGTCAGCCATAGCAGAGCACCTGATGAACCAACCTGGACATGGCATATTATTTGAGAACACAAATGCTGGACCACTCTAACAACCACCATGACAGATTACACAGAGAAACCAATGAAATCCACAAGCATGTGGACAATTTCAACAGAAGGGAAGAAACCATGAAAATGAACAAAATCTGGCTACCAGTATTGAAAAAACTTTAAAGTCATAACAGTAAATAAAGAACAACACTCAAAATGGGGAATTCCAGACAAGAAACAATAATGGACAAAAGATTCCCCCAGGCGGTAAGAAGCCAGACCTTAAAACTGCTAGGCCATTAAATGCTAATCAAGGTGGCCAATTGAAACATTCACACCTAGCTCCAACAGACAGTTCTTCCTCTAATCCTGGACATTTCACAGATAAATAAACCCAATTTTCCTAGTTTCCAACAGACCTCACAACCTCTAAGGATGCCTGCTGTAGATGCAGGCAAAACTTCAAGAGAACATGGAACATGGCCATATAGCCGGAAAACTCACAGCAACCCAACAATTACAATGTTTTCTTTTGTGGATGAAACCGCCTAATTGACTAACCTTAAATAAACCCTTTCATTTAAGTAAAAAACAGAAATAAAAACAACGAGGAGGATGTTTTGTCCTAGTTATTGGGTTCACCATATCCTATCTTCAGAATAGCTTTCAGTTCTCCTTATCTATAACAATGAGTGCAATACCAAGAAATATTTCTTTGATTTTTCAGTGAAAAGTAAAGTGCAATAGAGGAAAGTGTTCTCCAGTCATGGCACGGATTCACTGTTATTGTTCTAAGACTATTGTGGTATATATATTTTTTCAGAGAAGATTCTTAGCAACAAGGAAAGTTATCTGTGGTTATTCCTTTCATTCAAGTTCCTTGAATAAAAGCAGACAGGGTTTGCCATTCTCAACTTGAACTTCAAGCCGGCAGATAACAAACCCTGTGATAATTGCTTCCTTCCAAAACATCATACTGAAACATTGCAGATCTGCCCGTTCCACCCAAACAATTCTAATCTTTCTTGGTAGAAAGAAATCTTAAAATTTTTGAACAAACCCCCAAGTTATTAATGTCTCCCTCCTTCCCTAACCCAGCATTCTTGTGTGAATACCTTTTTTGGGGGGTGGGGGGTGGGGGGGAGACTTCCAACTATTATGCTAATTACAATATGAATGAATGGGATAGGTTTGTACAAATATTGTGAGCAGATATTGGTTAGTGCTGGTGACATCACTATAGACAGATTGCACAATTTCGACACCTTTTTGTGAATATGTAAACAGTTTCTGCCCTCTCCGCATAATTTTATAGAGCAGGAGTGGTCACCTGTGGACTTCCATATGTTTTGAAGGGCAACCCTCAACCATTCCTGCTTTAGATGCCTGCTTTAGTTAACAACAAAGCCAGTGGACATTAGTATGCTGTTCATTGCTCCTCATAAAAGGAATTGTAATATTACACAGTTGGGGTTTGACTTTATTTAGCACAAATACAAGGGGAAACCATTTTTAACAAGATGGAAAGGACAGAAATAGCTGCCTCAACTGCACTTTTTCTAGTTCTAGGAAAGGGTGTGCGTTTCTTCATTTCTACTATTGTTATCCACACAAGAAGAAAGTAATCATGTTATATCTGTTCATTTTTCAAATCTTCTGGAAGAAATAGACATACCGCTCAGTTAGAAGTTTCTGGCCTTTCAACCAAACTAAATATTGATTTAAGTTTGTATGTTATCAATCTGCAGTAGTTGAAGCAAAGGGCATTCTTTTCCCACACAGTTCTATACAGTTAGAGCTTTTAAAAGTTCTGGGTTTGTTGTTTTTTATAGCATTTTCATTTTTTTCAGGAAGTTTGTTCCATCCATTTTCCTTATGTGTTTGGAAATGTTTTGCCTGTAATCTAAGAATTTATTTGCATTTTTATAATCACAAATTTCTGTACACAATTTTGCACCTGTTGGGGAGAGCAGTATGCACTATATTCCTCTTTTTGTGTGTTATTTTCCATAATGTGCGGTTTTCTTGTATGCAATTTCTTATAGCATATACCTACACAATGAAATTGACAGTAATGCAAAAGCCTTTTGTTAATTGTATTCCGGTTTACATATTGGTTTGGGAAAGTGAATTTAGTCTGAGTCATCTTAAAATGCTAACCAAATGAATTCCATCTGCCCCATGTCTTTTGAATAGGTAATTTGAATCATATTTTAGATAATGAATACTTATCAGCCAAAGAAAAATAAATAGGATTACATTTACATAATTCTTCTCCTGTAACACCATTTACCTCTGTTTTATACGTCAGAAATACAGCAGTCTCAGCTTTCCTTTGCTCTTAATTTATTGAATTGTTTCTGAGACAGATGTTATAGGACCAATGTGCTAAGAGAGATTTTAACCAACCTGACCAGTTATATAAATATCCTTGAACTTCTGTCATTTGTCCCTTTGGCATGACTATATTATATGTGTTTTGTATGTGAATATTTTCTCATTTCAAGTGTTTTTGAATGGGAATAATAGAATTATAGAGTTGGAAGAGACCTCATGGGCCATCCAGTCCAAGTCCCTGCCAAGAAGCAGGAAAATTGTATTCAAAGCACCCCTGACAGATGGTCATCCAGCCTCTGTTTAAAAGCCTCCAAAGAAGGAGCCTCCACCACAGTTAACAAATTAAGTTGAGTTTTTTGGGATAGGGCAGGGTCATTTTACTGTAAGTGAAAGTATAATAATTTTAAGATATATTGTTAAAATTATCATAACAGTTTTTTCCAAAGCTGAGTCATACTTTTAACATATATTTTCAGTGTTAAATATTTCTGACTATCAAAACACAAATATTTCTTCCCATTTCTAGCTTGGTGTGGTTATTGATGTCATTTTCATAGTCATAAACAGCCTCCTAAACAGTTTTATGGCCGTGCAAAGGCATTTTTCGCACTCTAAAGCTTTTTCTTTTTGGGTTGTGGTTGAATTTTTGTTTGTTTATTTGTTTTTGCTGGGAAACCATTTTTCAATGGAGTGTGCTTGGACCTTTGAATGAGTGGAAGAACAGTTTCCGGTCCAAATCTAGAACTAGGTACTTTAAAAAAGAATAATGAGACTATAATTTGGCAGTTTGCAATTTAAAAGAACAAAACACATGTGAGGAAAAAGCAAGAGATTGCTTTTCTCGAGATGATATCAGGTATTTCTAAAAGTTTTTTTTCCTAATGTTTCCTTCCATTTTGTCTTGCAGGTTGTCACTCTATGGTACAGAGCTCCAGAGGTTTTGCTTCAGTCTAGTTATGCCACACCAGTAGATCTTTGGAGTGTTGGCTGTATATTTGCAGAAATGTTCCGTAGAAGGTAAGAAATGTAGTTGAATGTCCATGTTGCATGTTTGACTTTCACATATTTGATTATTTTGAATTTTTGCCATTACTTATGTGTAAACCGCTTTGAGTCCCCCTCGGAGTGAGAAAAGCAGTATACAAATACTGTAAATAAAAATGTAAATAATAATAAATAATTGATTTTGTTGTCCTTAATTAAATGGAATGTTTACACATCACAGATGATGTACATTGACTAGAAGATATAAAGAAAACCAGAAAAAGTTTAGTAAATCATAAATGCGATAGATAGATAGATAGATAGATAGATAGATAGATAGATAGATAGATAGATAGCGAATGCAATGTTTTTAAATGTTTTAATGTGTATTAATTTTAATTATATGTTGTTTTTAAGGCATGGAATAGTTGCCTATATGTAAAGCCACCTTGAGTCCCCTTTGGGGTTGAGAAGGAGGGGGTACAAATATGGTAAATAAATGGATGGAGGGATGGATAGATCTATAATACTAATTTTTACATTACTACTTATTTGTAACACCAAGGAAAACATTTGTGTGGGAAACCCAACTAGCTAAATTTCATCTACACTTGCTGAAAATTACCAGTGTAACAGTCTTGATTCTTAATCCAGTTGAAAGTAGTGTCATTGTGGTACTAGAGATATAAACATTTAGATATAAACCTACTGTGCTCATAGTCTGACATGCTATGATTTCAGTGTAGAATGTTGAATTTGCACATTTTTGAGGATGAGTTTTTGTGATATTGAAAGAATATACATTCAGTATTTTAGGTTATGCATGATCAACGCAAATTGCAGGGGAAAAAAAGAATTACCAATATTATAGTAACAATAAACTGTAAAGTTTTGCAAATTCCCATGGATTGTTTCTCAAGCTACTATGTGTAAAGGAAATTCCTTCTTCAGTTAAAATTTTATTGCAGACCGCATAACTGTTTTTAACTACCTCTTTTAGAATGAAAGTTATGTTTGACTGTCAGGTCAATATTGAAACAAACTAAACTGTTTGTTTAATTATCATGATGAGTTATGCTTCCTTTTCCTCATCTCTTCTTGATTGTTCATCTTTAAAGGATTTCAAGCATGGATTCACTCTTCTGAATATTCCCACCATTTCGTGTTGCTGAGGTTTTTTTCAGGTCATATTAACTGGCAGAGAAATTTCTGTAGAATTCAATACATGATGGATTCTGCTGTCACTTTAGTTTTGCAATCTTTGGTTATTTTAGATGTCATTAAAGTTAGCTATCAGCACCTGGAAAGACTATATTCAGATGAAGCTACAGCATAGGATTGGATTCTGCATGAAGAGGCCTGTAGTGCTGGGTAGTCAAAAGAGGGCATTGTCCCCCAAGGAAGGTTTCTGTCCCAAAATGAAATAGCCAAAAAAGTATATGGAGAACACTAACACTTCACAAACTTCCTAAAAGATTGTATTTGAATAAGGAAGCCTTTTCATGCTTGTTCATTTTCTATGTCCTGGGCTGATGAAGTGGGTGGGGTACATATAAACTTAAAGAGAGATAAATTGAAGAAGGAACATTCAACATACTAGAAGAATTCAAATGTATATGTAGATAAAATACTGTCAGCCCTCCACATTTACTGGAATTAGGGGCACAAAACTGGGTCTAAAATTTTTGATTGTCTGGAGACTAACATTTATTTTTTATCAAAAAGTGGAAAAAAAGATACAATTAAAATTATTGCAAAATAAATGTATATATTTAGCAAATACAGTATACATATACAGTACATATTAAATGTAAATACAGTAATTTAGTGGGCCCACCATGAACAGTCCACCACTGCACAGGGCCTTCACAAATGTGGGAAAACCATAAATAAAAAACGCGGTTTTGTGTTATCTCAACACTTCTGTGGGAATCTTTAGGTCCTCCAGTGCAACTCCATAATCAGCTAGAAGTTGACCATGGGAGCTCACTGGAGAACTACAAATGCCTAGCAAAGCATTTTCTCTAGGAATCTTAAGGTCCTCCCACACAACTACAGCAAAATTTGACCTACAGGGAAGTATATTAACCAAATGTGTGAATAATCAAATCTGAAAGACCCACAAATGTAAAGGACCAGCTATAGATCACAAGGTAGGAGAGTGGCAACAATGGGAAGAATTGTTCCATTGATCAGGCACTCACATAAAGTTGTGCTCCCAATATTTCTATGCCTGGTTCTTCTAAACTGGACAAGATCAGATTCTTAGAACCTATAGTTGACTTAAATAGGTCTCTTAAGGACTAAGAAAGACTAATAACAGTTAATTCACCATGCTGGATTCAGCCTCTAAGCCCTCAGATTTCATGCCTACATGACTTCATGACAATGAGAGATTAGATATCCTTTACGAATTGGACCTCTTCTTCACAGCCTCTGATTCCCATGGTACCATGTATCCCAAAAAGTCATTGCATTGTGAAAAGGTTCTTATCTGAACACTTCTGTATTTTTGTGGCTGATGTTTGCAAGCTGTTGTTTCAGAACAGAGTCTTCTAGGTTTCATTTGACTACAGGCATTGTTGAATTGAGATGATCCATAATACAGCTGCTCTTGCTAGTCAGTTTATGAATAAATGATTCATAGTACTTAGGAATGCACTAAAATAGAAATATTGCAAATTTGCTCTTTTGTGCTACTTAAGGGAATCATGTATGTATTTGTTTGCCCGGTTTTGCTGTTAAAAACTTGCCAAAATTCTGAAGTCATCGGAAGAGTAGGAGGATTGTGTCAGGACATTCAAAACCATCAGAGACATAAAATAAAACATTTATGAATTTTAATTCTCACTTCTGGTTCTTTTGATATTTGGATTATCTTTCTGAACCCGAGACACCTTTTCTTAAGCTTAGAGCAAAGTCTTAGAACCAGCTAAAAATATTGCATTTCAAGAAACCAGTATGCCTTTGCTACCCTTTTGTCTGGTTGTGAACCATGGTTCAAGCTGTCATTGTTATTCTGTTACATTGAGAGGTCAATGGGTTAAATTAGAAGCTTGGATTCATTCAGCCTTGATGATTTGAGTCCAAGACTCCAGAAGAAAAACTGAAATAAAATGAATCTAACAGACTGGCCACCTGTCTGGAGAAGAATAAAAAAAAATCTGACTCCACAAGACTGGTTCATGAGCCTCTAATAAAGATAAAAAGAACTTCATTGAAGAACAATTTAAACATTTCCCAGAAGGAAAAGGTGGAGGAGCATATTTGTTTCCTAGCATATGTGTTATTTAGAAATAATTATTTTTAAAATAGCTAGAACTGTCCCCAACCTATTGACTGTGCCTTTTGAATTAACTGTAGGAAAATCAGATCTGAAGCTAATATGGATAGGTCTATTTAGAGCAGTGGTTCCCAACCTTCCTAATCCTGTGACCTCTTAATATAGTTCCTCATGTTGTGGTGACCCCTAACGATAAAATTATTTTAGTTACTACTTCTTAACTATAATTTTGCTACTGTTGTGAATTGTAATGTAAATATCTGATATGCAGGATGTATTCTCATTCACTGGACCAAATTTGGCACAAATATTCGATATACCCAAATTTGAATACTGGTGGGGTTGAGGGATTAATTTCGTCACTTGGAAGTTGTAGTTGCTGGGATTTATAGTTAATCTGCAATCAAAGAGCATTCTGAACTCCACCAATGATGGAATTGAACCAAACTTGGTACACAGAACGCCCATGACTAACAGAACATACTGGAAGGTTTTGGTGGAGTTGTAGTTTACCTACATCCAGAGAGCCCTGTGGACTCGAACAATGATGGATCTGGACCAAATACTCAATATGCCCAAATGTGAACACTGCTGGATTTTGGGGAAATAGAACTTGACATTTGGGAGCTATAGTTGCTGGGATTTATAGTTCATCTACAATCAAACCACTTAAACTCCACCAATGATAGAAATGGGCCAAATTCCTCACACAGAACCCCCATGATCAACAGAAAATACTATGTTTTCTGATGGTCTTTGGCGACCTCTCTGACACCCCCTGACGACCCGCCACCAGGGGTCCCAACCCCCAGGTTGAGAAACACTAATTTAGAGCATTCGATATCTCTATTGGTTTCAACTGAATAGCAAAAGTATGATTCCCCAAGTATTTATACTTTTGTGCATTCCGTAGTGAGTCAGGTATGCATAATAAACACACCATCAGACAAAGAAATTGGAAAATAAAAGCCAAATCTTTTATTGTTGACAGCAGTAAAAAGGGTTGTCACATACATGAGTGCACATCCAGGCATCAACCAATCCTCCAGTTGGTCCATTAGCCCAACCTTGTGAATTGCTACAAGAACCCTTGGCATGACAGGAGGGGGTAGAAGCCCCCTGTGTTGTCCCCCTAATGCAGTGGCTTCCATCCCAAGTAAGCAAGTTCCACACTCTCCAAGTCCCAGGAAAGTATCTCCATATGTTACTAATGCTGGAGAGACAATGGTAATGGATGTCCCGGCTCCAGTACCATGCCACCGCTCACCACCAAATTGTTGGTAGGAGTAGAGACATTTAGCAGACTCTATCTGCAAAATGTCCCTACTCCACAGAATTGCAAGAACCAAAAGGGAAAAGAGTGAACACGTGGATGATGCATCAGAAACAAATGCTGGTGTATGTGCGAGCAGCAGTCTTTTCACCCTTTATACCTGATTGGCATGGGTTACCCCAGCAAGATCTAGCAGACATAAAGCATTGGCTGTGGTTTCTTCCTCTCTTTAGGGCTGAACCAAGTGACATGGGCTCCTGGGAGGAAGGGGGCAGCAATCCACCATTATAGGCAGGGTCCACCGTCACAAAAAAGCCACGTCGTTTGAGAGGGGTTTTTTGGGGGGGGGGGTTGGTTTGTTTTTTGTGTGTCAGGAGTGACTTGAGAAACTGCAAGTTGCTTCTAGTGTGAGAGAATTGTCCGTCTGTAAGGATGTTGTCGAGGGGACTCCCTGATGTTTTACCATCCTGTGGGAGG